TTTCGTGTGGAGACTTGCGACTCGACTTTGCCTGAAATGAAATTCGAGGAGACAGCCTTCGTTTTGGCACCGAAGGATGGCGTTTATTTGCGTTTTGTGAAGGATAAAATTTACTGACGGCAATAAATGTGTTATTTGAGCAATTAAAAATGATTTATTAGTAAAAAAGAAACCGACTGATATTCGACTTATCCGATATGAAAGACCACTTTGTCAACTTTTTGCTAGTGTTCTCCCAATTTTGGTTGGTATTTATGAACGATATAACAGATCGAAGGTCTCAACAAACGGAAATGTTGTAACATTGTTCTTATTTCGGTATGTTTTTTCAATACCGCGAACTGCATTCTATATTTCACCATCGTTTCATATGGGCAAATCCTGCGTTACGAACGCCACATTCGTACGCGTTTTCGGATTGAAATATAACAATTCTTTGGTCTTTCAAAAGACATACCTTCAAGTTATACACAGTGTTTAGTGGGATTTGAGTGTACTTTTGAATGTCATCAAAATATTTTTTGTAACAGGTTTAAAATTTGCGAAAAATTTGATCTCAAAGTATTGTTACGCACGCTACAAAAAATGGAAGTATCTTTGAAGGTTGAGGCATGTTTTCGTAATTTTTAGTAAATTTTGTATAATAAAGCACATCAAATGAAATACCTTAAAGAAAGATGAATATAAGAGAATTCTAAAATAACTTACTTGCAGCCAAAAAATGTTGTAGTTTTTTTATCAATGGCCGTGAACCCAACGTTACGCACGCTATTTTTTCCAGTAGTATATAAATAAAAACAATTGTATTTATTTTAACAAAACAATTTATACTCTTTTTTAATAAGATTATTTAATTCATATTTTATGTTTATAAATTAATTTATTAATGTATGTATATTTGTTTATAAATAAATTTTTTGTTTTGCTGAATCTGCAGTTAGTGCTATTTCGAGCTCATTTTCATTAAGAAATGAAAAATAATGGTTGCTTTTTATTCCGGGAATGCTCTTAACGTTAGCCCATCTCTCCGAAAGAAATGCAGTTGTATTTTGTATATATTTACTGCTTATATATAAAATAGAAATACCATTTATATTAATTTTTGCTAATTTAAAAAAAATCATGGGCGTTATTAAGAACAATATTCTGAGCTTTCACCATTTGCCAAATTTCTCTCTTTATGACAGCTCCAATTCCGTCTACTGCACCCTTTCCTTGAGCAGTTGCAAAAAAATTCCACTCAAAGTTGGTCAAATCTAATTTTTCTTTAAAATACGGGATAATGCTCAAAATGAACTTGTTTTTAATTGACTTGCACAGCCATCAGAAAATAAAAATAACTTTAAAATAGCGTTTTGTTCTTTAAGTTTCTTTACAATTAACAGGAGAAAGCAATAAACATCATATTTATTGTGTGTCAGTTCATCGCTCGTAATAGCAAATGATCTTGTGCAATTGTGCAACCAGGCAACACACGTAAAAATGGTAACTTGGGAGTAACTAAAATGTGCAGACTGAATTTCATTTTGATTGAGGAGCATATAGTTTTCCGCAAAATCGACTTGCAGAACAGCTTCATCTTGTTTAATAGATATTTTTCGGTCTCGAAAGTATTTTTGTTTATTCCTTTTAACGTAAGTATGCAGTTTAAAGAAGGTAACTGAGATTCCAATTCATTAATCAAATCAGTTATTGGTCCATTCGTATAACTAATGATGATGCGTTTATCGACGATTCTCCAATGCTTCCATTCAGTAAGCTCTTCGAGCTGATTAATGTAAATCAAAGGGACGAAAGCGTCTGTAATGTCTTTAATGCACTTGTTGCATTCATTCCTCATACAAACTTCATTGGTTTCGTCACAACACACTTTTCTTAAAAAATTGCCGAAGTTAGATGGGCACATACGAAAAATGCCAAACATAGCTTCCAATAAAAATGAAAAATTGCCGTGGTACTGGCAAACACACATATTATGTGGAAGCTTACTAGACAATTCCACGTGTTTTGATCGGTTGTTATGAAATTTAGTACGTGAAATATATGTTCCAGGAAACGTTGTTTTAAAAAATTCATATGCTTCTCTAATTGTCATAACCATGAATCTTTTAGATATTGGAAGGTTATTTGATTTTGATATAAGTGTGCACTTTCTTCCGGCAGTGTCCGCAGAGATGTCATCACTGGCGTAAAACTCATAAATCATTTTAACATTTTCGTCAACCGTATTTTTTGTTTGAGCTTCTTCTTCCTCTTTCAAGTATTTTTCTGTAAGCATTCTAAAAATTTCCTTTTTTTTTGTTAATGTCTTCTGATAACGCTAATTCCACTTTTTTTAAGGCCTTGTAAAGGGTATTTTTGCACTTATATGCACCATCCAACAATATTATTGGTTGCTCTTGTTGTTTTTGTTCCTTTACTGTCTTTCTATAAATTTGCATACGGTTTCGGTAGGTCAGCCTTTACTTTTTTTTGATAATGAGTCATCATTTTTAAGTTTTTCTTTAAGATTTTTTCTATACATTTTCATTCTTTTCGCATTTTTTAAAGGTTCCATTTGTGTTAAGTTTTCACTGGATTGTAT